CTGAATCGGCATGACTCATAGCTCTTGTCAAATCCATTACTTTCTAACCAGTTTGGTTTCCGTCGAGAACATAACACTATCCAACAGCTACATAGAATTATGTAACGCATCGATAAGGATCTAGAAAATATTCTAATAAGCTAATAATAGCTAATAGCAAAGTTCTCCGAAACGAATTCAATGGTAAATAAAAGAATTAACCGGCGACTACTAATGGAGGAATGGAATTCTGAGAACATTTGTTGGATATCACACAAGCTCCATACGAACAGTAGCAGAACAAACAGGAATGTCACAGAAGACATGTATTAGAGACTCTAAGAAATGTATTAAAAATTTACAAATTTAATTTTTACAAAATGGTGATATTCCAAGAACTGAATCAAATGACTTTTACAGTTTTGTGAAATCATGTCTTATTAATTTAACGCGATCTCTAATATTCTGCCGAATATTTGTTTCAGCAATAAAAAATATGTTCACTTTTTTAATTGTATTGTAAATGTACACAATTTTCTTTATTGGATTGACAAAAACCCCCATATTTTTCTTGAATTCGACAAACTTAAGTATAAGCTGAATACAGACCACATGTCATTATGATTGAAGATACTCTTGATACTCTTATAATTGTCGAGCTAGAAACTCAAATTGATACAGAATATAATATAGTCTTACAGAAAGATCTTCACGTTTCCAGTGGGATAATGATCCACGTCATTATTTTCTTCCCGTCTCCACGAGTTGAACAAAAGATTTCCCAATAGATCGATTGGCAGATTTTTTTGTAATATTTTAACACTGTTGTTGACAAAACACAAGCCGAAAATATTGATGAAGCATTTGGTGAGTTTATTATTACTTAGAGAAAAATGGACATTATGAACAATTGCTTTATTCAAACATTCAATCATACCTGACAACCACTTTGGTTTTCGTCGGGAACATAGCACTATCGAACAGCTACATGGAATTGTACAACGCATCGATAAGGATCTAGTAAATGTTCTAATAACCTGATAATAGCATAATAGTGTTAGAGACTGCGAACATCGGCAACGCAGCTTACCAACCCGATGATCCGTGCTGAGGTAGCGGTTTAATTCTACAGAGAGACCTTCACCGACCGCCGTGGTGTGAAGACACATTTTAATTCATATTGTAAACCTTTAGTAAATAAACCCTAATGCTTAAGCGTAATGTGTTTTAATTCGAACAAATCAATAATATACAGTCCACTCAGTTCATATACAAATAGCTAATACCAAAGTTCTCCAAGATGGATTCTGTGGTAAATAAAAGAATTAACGGGCGACCACTAATGGAGGAATGGAACTCTGAGAATATATGTTGGAGATTACACAAGCTTCATACGAACAGTAGCAGAACAAACAGTAGTGTCACAGGAGAATGTTTTAAAAATTTACAAATTTCATCTCAACAAAATAGTACTATTTCAAGAAGTAAATCAAATGATTTTACAGTTTTGTGAAATCATGTCTTATGAATTCAACGCGATCCCTAATATTCTTTGTTTTAGCGACGAAAAAAAAAATCTTCACTTTTTTAATTGCATTGTAAATGTACACAATTTTCTTTATTAGATTGACGAAAACCCCCATATTTTTCTTGAATTCGACAAACTCAAGTAGGTATAAGCTGAATACAGACTTTCAATATTCTTGAAGATACTATTGATACTCTTATAATTGTCGAGCTTGAAACTCAAATTGCTACAAAATATAACATGGTCGTACAGGAGGATCTTTTACGTTTCCAGTAGGATAATGATCCACCTCATTACTTTCCTCGCGTCCCACACGAGTTGAACGAAAGATTTTCCAATAGATGGATTGGCAGTTTTTTTTTGTAATATTTTAGCACTGTTGGTAACAAAACACAACCCGAAAATATTGATGAACGAAATAAAACAGGACGCAGTTCAGTTTTGAAGTTTTCCAAAATGTTCGAGAGGCATTTGGAGAGTTTATTATTGCTTAGAGCAAAATGGACATTATGAACCATTGATTAGATAATGTGTAATGACATGTATTATTTTTAATTGTAAAAGTAAAATAACTAAAATTGAACGTGCAGTATGTAGAATACATGTTTTTCCTGTTATTCAAGAGTTGAACGAACTAATCGTTTAAACGTTTCAGCTGAAAGAAGTCATAATAAAATAATTTTTAATTTACATAACAACTTTGTCAATCTTCGAATATGACTTTTGGCAACTGCTAAGCAGCAAAAAATATTAAATTTGATGGAGAGAAAATTAAACGCCTTTTAAAATGATGTGCCACTTGACCCCACTTTCTATTTAAAAAAGTAAGGTTAATATTTGCCCTAGAAGCAAGCAACTAGAAGGTTGAATTTTGTGGTTTAAAAATATGCATTGAAAGTCTCCGTCTTCGGAGAAATCTTCGATTCAGATACTATTAGCAGTTTCTATTTTCTATTTGAAGTCTAATATTTTATCTAATTTATACAGTGTGTTCAAAAACTTCCACCAAATACTTACTACAAATACTTACTACTTTTAGTTTTAAATGGTAATAATTTGTTTAGTTTAAATGACATATTCTATTTTTCTGAATATAGCAAAGCGATAGATTGGTTAAATTTGGTGTCAATCAAGAATATATAATTGCAAATACTTTGTTTAAACTTCCTAAACGTTTGACATCAAACATAACAGACAGCTAAGCTCAGGACCACATGATGTGCTCATTGAATTATTAAAACTCATTGATGAATGTTATCGATGTAATGATTTAACTTTTAAATATAATATAGCAGACTGCCACAATTCATACACAATTGCTGAAATCGACCTTGGTAGTCCCTAAAGAGTTAAATGCAACAACCTGCTCAGATCACAAAAAAATTGCTTGAATGAATTACACATTTAATTTATTTGGAAAATAATACACGGCATAATTTTGGTTTAAAAATGGTATGGCAACACGAGAAGGATTGTTGCTGGTCCAGAGAATCATGGACATTAATAATAAAAATTTGATAAGGTTCAAAATAAGAAGCCTGTAGATATATTAAAAATCAAAAATATTGACAGTCGTTATATAAAAATATATTTCATCTATATTAAAATCAAACTACCAAGGAAATAGTTGACAACCGGTAACGGGTAGCTCCTTTAGATAGCAGACTCAGTAAAACTCAGTTTTAATTAAAATAAAAAAAGATTTAGAACAAATAAATGGCAAAATAAAATTACATTCAAGATAATTATACTCAAACACCAATCCTACGGCGACTGCATGGTTCGGCGACCCGCTGTTTAATACCTGCGAAAAATAAAATACAAATATTGTCATAAAATTGAAACGATAATTACGATTGTCAATACACACGCAGCGAAGAACGGAAGGGGGGTCAGAGGAATATAGATGGAAAGGGCCTATCAACATTCGGTCCGGCGAGGAGCGGAAAGTGACTAATCAACGCTTATCCACGGGAAAGAATAGGTCTATCTCAGATCAATACTCCAAGACTGGATACGGAACTGTCACTAGAACAACACTCTAGTAGAAGCGGTTGGCCTTTAGTCAATATCCTAGGGCCAGTAGAGTTGCTATCAGAACAACACTCTGATGGAACTCCGGACGGTTGACCTCCAGTCAAGACCCAGAGGCCCGGTGGAACATCACACCTAGGTACTCAATCTGGTTACGGAGTTGGAGTCAGTCGCCCCAGAGTCTGAGGTCGATTCTTCCGGCTACATTGTGTGTAGTGTATCCGCAGAGATTTTGGTGTCTGAAGAAAATCAATTGTGTTTAATTAAGGTTAAGTATTACTCTCCATCTCCCGCACCTCCTTTCGACCAAGGCAAGGTAATTTTGAGCAGCCCTACATAGAGCATCTGCGTCTCGAGATGTTGTTACGATAGCAGTGTCGTCTGCATAGAGTAAAATGAAGGTGCGAGTGTCTTGTGGGGTAGGGAAGTCGCTATTATATATGGTGTAGAGTATAGGTGTCAACACGGAACCTTGTGGAACTCCTGCAGTAGGAGTAAAAGAGGCTGAGAAATGACCTCGCATCTTTACCGTGATTTTACGTTGAGTGACATACGAATGGATAAGTCTAACGAGTGGAAGTGGCAGGCGGTTGTATTCTGTTCTGAATAGGGGGTTGCGATGCGTTGAAGTCATCTCTTTTTTGGTTTTATCAATTATGTGGTGAGGAAGTGGATAATTTAAATTAACCAACTATGGAATATTAGCGGACAGAAAGTCTTTGAAAAGTCGGCGTGTTTGTAGTCTCTTATTGTTTGAGGAGGATTGGGGGTAAAGGATTTAGTACCTGTTTTAGTGGTCAATAGTTAATTATGCACTCGTCGCCTAAAACATCAATCAGATCATAGGTAAATTCTCTCTTGTGGCGTACTCTATTGTCAGCTTTCCATAACCTCCAGCGCTTATTGATGTAGGAGAAACTTGTGATGGGAGTGACAACCAAAACACCTGAGATATCTAAAGACACAGAGTTTGCAAAGATTGCGAGCTGTTTCCTCTAATCTTAAATATCAATAAGAAAATTTTAAAGAACTGACGTTTAGCAGATGATACAGTAGTAACGATGAAAAATAACAATGATTTACAGAACGTGATGCAACGCCTTAATATAAGCTGTCATGAATAAGAATATGAACATTTTTTAAATTTTTTTATGGATTTTGACAGTACGGTAAATGTTTTGTTTCAATTCATCATTACCAACTTAAAACTAATTATTCCCCCTAATTTTTTTTTACATCCATCTATAAATATATGCACATACATGTGTTATAAACAGTACAATTTTTGATAAAGTTCTGATATATAAATGGTAAAAATGTAGAAATTAGTCTGCAATGTTTTATTTGCATTACTTTAGACTAGATACTCTTGTTTGCTCTTAAATTTCATACCCTTAAGTCGACAGATTTAGTGCGCATCGTAACGATATCTATTCTAATTTTTAAACATTATTTTTAGGTATGAATGTTCGGTACTTAAATCCATGAAAGAATATATAATAGCAACAATCCAAAGAGCTTTTGAAGTTGCTGCTGAATTAGCGGAAGGCTTATTTTCAGAATTAATGCAATGTGTAGAAAATAAACATTTGGTAAGTAGAACAACATTACACTGATCGAAAAAAAAAAATGGGAAATATGTTTCATGTCTTCATAGTGTATTGTCAAAAGCAATATAAAACAAAAACATAGACAAAAACAATAAGCTACTTGTCATAAAAAATTTGAAAAATTAATGGGATAGAATGAATTATGTAGCATGTTAATGAAGTAAAAGTTGTTTGTAGTGTTTCGTAAATTGATGGATTTTACCACTTCTATCTTTTTAAAGTTTAAAAATGTTTCATCGTGTTCATTTAGCCTTTATGGAATTGTTATAGAGAGAATTTCCTCAAATTTCTGAGTCAGTAAATACGTTTTCTTCCTATACTTCTTTTCACTACTATTTTTCCCTACCATATAAATCATATAATGCTGTATCCTTCACCACGCAGTTTGTGTCCCAGGTATTACTGTTTTCTTTCTTTCGCCGCTATTGCTACTTTTTTCACCCTTCTTACACATTACATTACACATTTACTTCTTAACACTTTATTATTGGTAACTCTGTAGCTACTTCCTGAGTAGTATAGTTTGTAGAAAACTCTTCACTGTACCAGAGTTAAACCATCTAATTTCGCTTATACCCAATATTAGATAATTAAGTATATAATAATACATTATTATGTATTATATAATATATTGTACAATTTTCCTGACGTATACATGCAATTTATATTCCATGTAGACATGTTTAATGTGCAATTATATTATTGTATAGTGCAGTGCAGAGTTGTAATTAAATTAACCGAAATCAGTAACTTGTTGCTTACTCGATTTAACCATCCTAATTGACTAGCGATTGTTAATGAGATAGTTTCCCATTGCTTTCCTTATTGTAGTTTAGTAACCATTAAAACTGATCCTACAGGGATTATAGAATATACATCCAGAACACGAAATGGGTCCCATAGAAGCGGAGTGACTGTAATGCTAAATAAATCTCTCATCAGTTCCGTACGAAATTTTATGCCATTGTCGGAGAGATTAATGCTGGTACAGTTTACAATGAAGCATGTAAATATAAACATTCAGGTCTACATGCGAAAAATCATTCGATCGAGTTAAACATAGAATTCTTCCAATGTCTGCAATCCAATGCAGATACGCTGACGACACTGCCGTCATTGCAGAAACCATAGGGGACTTGCAAATACTACTGGATAAAATGCATGACGCAAGTCGCGGATCGGGCTTTAATATTAACGCAAAAAAGGATAGCCGTAGTTAAAATAAATATACAACTGATCCCGATAACAATCAACGGTTGCAAAATTGAGATGGTATTATGATTTAAGGCGCCTACTGACTTAAGCCATTTTCTTTGCACGAACGCTGTGTGCACAAAAATGCCAAGGTTTGTACGTGTGCCCACATAAAGTTAACCCGCATGAATGCTATCCGTCAGTAGTCGGTTAATATAGTAAATAAAACAAAGTATTGCAAATAATTTAAAAGTAAAAGAACATGAAGGGAATCAACAGGGTCCGCATAGCCATGATGATTTCCAACCTCCGATATAAGATGGAACTTAAAGAAGGGAAATCCTTGGAAGGACGGCAATGATCACGACAGATGTCTACGAGTTTTACTACCATCCCATTGAACGACACTATTGCTGCAGAACGAGTGCTCCAAAAGTTATTGACGGCTATATAATGGTCATGGTGGGCGATAAATGTCGAATAAAAAACATGTCTTGTAGTAATTACGGTAAGTCTAAATTCTCAACGTTAGACAAATAATGTGCTAGGGTTCTAGGGGCTAAAGGTTCTGCCTTCAGTTTATGGTGCGGATTAGAGATGAAAGATAATGCAAAACCACACATCGCGGTCATGACTTAATCAAACAATGGACTGATCTGTCATTATTCTGATTTGAATACTATTGAACACATTTGGGATTTATTAAATAGAGGTACTCATAAGCGCCCAAATACTCCCCAAAATTTACATCATTAAGAAAAAAGACTTCGATTAAGGATACCAAGCATGCTAAGGAACTGAATTTATTAGCGTTGGGGGACGACACAGTTTTTCCTCATTTGTTGAGCAGTATATATTTTGCTTTGTAGGTATGTATTTCCCATTTTTGTAGATAGTTGTAATAAGCATGTGTAAACATGGACGGCATATTCATTATTCGGTCGTATAGCAAAATTTCAGTGCAAATTCAATTTTTTTCGTACATACGACACATATGCGGTAAAAACACGTCAATTTTAATTTTTGAATGGCCATCATTTGCTATATATGTGATGAATTCGACCGTTACTTGGTGGAAATTCATTTTATAACGTTTTATTTTATAATTTCATTTATAACTAACAATAAAACATTAAAAACTTTAATTTTCAACACTTTCACAATATTTATTATCACTACAGCTATTTCGGCAGAATACCTTTTTCAAGTAATCTATTGTCGGTATCCGTTTACACTTTATAATCTTCTATAAAAGATATTGGCTTGGACGCCAGAGATGTTCGAATAATTGCTAATTTATATTGGAATCAAACAACATCAGTTTTAGTAGATGGTGTGGAATCACATGCTCTCAATATTAAAAGAGAAGTACGACAGGGATGTCTCTTGTCACCCATGCTTTTCAACGTTTACTCTGAAAGAATTTTCAGAAAAGCACTTTCTGAAAAACAAAAAGGAATACTTGTGAACGGTGAAGTTATCAATAATTTCTAGAGCAGGCTAGAGCTGCTTTTAGAAGGAACTCCACAATACTAGAACGTATAAGCAAGACTACTGAGATCATAAAAAGCATCAAGCAGAGAAAGCTGGAGTATTTCGGACATCTAATGAGAGGTCCCAAATATAGGTTGCTACATAATATCATGCAAGGTAAAATAGCAGGCAAACGCAGTCCAAGACGAAGAAGTACCTCATGGTTGAAGAACTTTCGAGATTGGTATGGTGTTGATACAAGCATGCTATTTAGGGTGGCAGTGAATCAAATTAAGATGGCTATGATGGTAACCAACGTTCTGAAAGGACATGGTACATGAAGAAAAAGAATCTTCTATTGAGTAAGTTAAGGAGGGGAAAACTTTTTGTCTTTAGTTGGACATTTATAATTATATTTGTATTTTTTAATTTGTTAATTTCCATAGATTCTAATAAAAATAGCTTAGGGCCGTTGTTTTGACTTTGAAATTGGTCATTAAAAGAATGATTATGGTCTAGAAAGTTAGGTGCTTACGTAGAATCTGTTTTTCTATAATTGAAAGCCTTTTTGTGTTCTGGTAGATGTAATTTTAAAAGTTCTGCCAATTTGACCGATGAAAGTTTTTATAATTACAATTAAATTTATTTTATAAAAAAATAATACTTTTTGTTGTTTCTATTTTAGATAACAGTATTTCGAATAGCAGATAAATACGACCAAAAACCCCAAGAATTGGACCAAATAATTTTAACAGCTTTATTTAAATCTCAACATCTCTCTCCGACCGAACAACTCAGTCTTGCATTAACGTGGAATCGTGCTGATATAGCTAGATCAGAAATTTTTGTTTATGGACAAGAATGGCCTCCAGGTATGTCAGAATCATGTTGATCTTAATATATACGCTAAATGATTATTCGATTGATATCAGAAAATTATCAAATGCGTCTACACAGTTTGTTCCATATTGCTTTATTTGTGAAAAATGAACTGTTACTGGAACATTATATTTTTAAATAACATTCAGAAAGATAAAAAAAAACATCTTTAGTACACAAAATTATCAAAATAATTCTTAAATTAGAGATCTTTATGGTAGTCGCTCGAAAAAAGTTGGAAGAGCGAACAATATTTGTAATATTATAATACTATGCCATTTTAATAACTTAAGGTAAGTTGGGGTAAGATCGGAGACGGGGCAAGTCCGAACGCAGCCTGTAAAATTGATATAGGTGTGGCAACAGCGCCGTAAACACTCGCCTCGTGGAGCAAGTAAAGGTATGCACTGCATAAACAAACGGCGGTTTGCTTCTAGGGTTTTCGTCTGAAATATTTGCAATTTTGTGTTTTTTTGTTTATTTTGTGCATTCGAACTTACCCCATTCATCAAATATTGCTTTAAAAGGTAAGTGAGAACATTATATAGGTAATCTGTGTTGTAAATGTTTCATCTTTATAAACTCTTTGAACTAGTCAATCATAACCTCAATTGGGTGTGTTATTATGAGTTGGTTCGATCTTTTTCCATATGTAGATGTACGGGGCAAGATCGACTCGAATTTTTCCGACCTTACCCCAAAGCCTATAAAGAAGTAATTTTTATTACAGTTTTGAAGATGGTCCGAAAATATATAAGAAAATCCGACAGGTGCAGCAAATACACCAAGGAAGACCTTGCGAGTGCCATTAGTGAATTGGAAAGAGGATCAATAACCCTTCACGGGGCAGCAAAAAAATATAACATCCCAAAATCGACGCTTCATGATCATGCTAAAGGAACCCATGGGTCAAAAAGTAAAACGCTGGGAAGGAGCTTGGCAATTTCCTTAGAGCATGAAGAGACTTTGGCAAATGGTATTAAAACTCTTGAGAAATGGGGGTTTGGCCTTTCCAGAAAGGAATTATTATTTATTGTAGCTGAGTACGTAACAAGAAATAATATTAAGACTCCTTTTAAAAATAATATTCCAGGTGCCGACTGGTTTATTAATTTTAAGCAACGACATAAACTTTCAATTAAAAAGCCCCAAGCGGTGGAGTATTCAAGAAAAAAAATGACTGATCCTTTTGTGGTCAACGATTATTTTGACCTATTGAAAAGAGTTTTAGATTACTTAAAATTAAACAATCTTCCACACCAAATATGGAATTTAGACGAAACGAGTCTGTCAATCGACCCATGTAAGACAAAGGTAGTTGGTGCTAGAGGTGCAGCTTGTTCCCGTGTAACCAGTGGTCCCGGAAGAGAGAACGTAACAATTTTGTCCGCTGTAAATGCTACTGGTGAAAAAGCGCCCCCTTTAATTGTGTTCAAGGGCAAGAATGTATGGGACCAGTGGATGGCAGATCCAGACGGCGAAACAGATTTAGCATACGCTGCTAGTAGCAATGGTTGGGTGGAGACTGATATTTTTGTCAACTTTATTAAGAAAACGTTAATGCCTGTTCTGGGTGATCAACGACCGGTCTTGCTTATATACGATGGGCACAGTACGCATGTAGATAATAGAGTAGTAACTCTTGCACAAGAAAATGACATAACTATCTTAAAGCTTCCGCCACATACCTCTCACTTATTGCAGCCCCTCGATCTTGCTGTGTTTAGGTCATTTAAAACATCTTGGGATGAAGAACTAGTCAGTTGGCAAAGAAAGAATCAGGGCGTTAAATTGACAAAAAGTATTTTCCGAAAAGGTGCACAAAATATGGAATAATATTAGTTCAGTTGTAATACAGAATGGATTTAAGAAAAGTGAAATATATCCCTTCAATCCATCAGTTATTGCAAAAGAAAAATACCATCCCGAAGCATTAAAACGATTTGAAAATATGAAGCAAGTCGCAACAGTGGTAACTGACGTAGCAAATGGTAATAATGAAACTAGGGACATATTAGATGCAGGACCAAGTAATGCTTCACCTACAAACACGACTAACAGAGAAACATTTGAGGGTCAGTCTGGACTAACAAATGTTTCATTTTGTGAAGACCTTCTACTTGACACTGTGAAACAGAGCTCCGTAAGTGCTAAAGCCGTCAAAAAAAGACGTGTTGCAACAGGTGCTGAAGTCATCACGCACAAAGATGCAGCTCAATTATTGGAATCTACCAGTAAGTGCCCATCACACACTAACACGCCAAAAAAACAAAAGTCTCGAATCTCAGAAAGTTCTAGCAGCGAAAGTGACATTGAACCAATGTATGAAGAATTTGATAAGGATTCAAATTTCCTTGATGAGGAACAGGCAGATGAAACGTTCGAAAACCTAGAAAAAAACGCTTGGATATTAGTTAAATACTGCAGCAAGAAAACCATAAAATATTATGTTGGTAAAATAATAGAAATAGACAAAGTTCATCGCGAATGTGTTGTAAAGTTTTTAAGATTTAATGAGAAAGTCAAAAAATTTGATTGGCCTAAAACTAACGATATTGACACTATAATCTATGAAAACATAGAAATGTTCTTACCGAACCATTTACAGGATGAAAAAAATTATCTGCAATTCGCCGTTAAATTTAATGGACTAAATATTGCTTAAGATTTTTATTTTGTAAATTTTTCTAATAAAAATGTTAATTCTGTTCTAGTTTTACGTTGATTTTATTCATATACGGGGTAAGATCGAATGCAGAGAAAAATTAGACATGTATAAATTTATGGTTTAAATAGTAAGAAATTTACCAGGGGCTTGTTCGGAATTCGATGTTACCCCGTAGGTGTTCTTGAAATACTTATATTATAATTTTACAAGTTGTCCGACCTTACCCCATACGCGGGGGCAAATTCGAACGACTGCATTTTTTTTATTTCATTTTTTTATAAACTTTCTTATTAACAAATATTGAGTTTTATCCTGCAAACTCTTTGCTTATGAGTTAAAGTTAAGCCATGCACATTTTGATAATTTTTTAAACTTATCTTATTGTTGTATTGTCAGGTAAATTTTGACTAATCTAAATTCCGTGCGATCTTGCCCCAACTTACCTTAATATTTTTTCAGTTGCGTTCAGTTCAATCATTATTTAAAAGTTTTCGCCATATATTTGCTTTAAATACAAGATTTACATTCTTTTTAAAATTTAACGATAAATTCTAAAATCGTTTCTCAATTCTGATTTGCATAATCCTAACATAATAATTTTGAATTCAGGTGCCCTAGAAGATGCGATGATAAAAGCCCTCGAGCACGACCGTTGCGATTTTGTAAAGTTACTTTTAGAAAATGGTGTCAGCATGCGAAAATTTTTGACAATACCTCGGCTCGAAAACTTGTACAACTCTAAACAAGGACCTAGCAATACATTAGGATATATACTCAGGGACGTACGCCCTCACATTCCACCGGGTTACATATATACTTTACACGATATTGGATTGGTGATAAATAAATTAATGGGTGGAGCTTATAGGTAAGAAATCTTATGAGAATTTACAGTTGTTTATTTTAGTTTATTATTAAGGCATAGTTTTTTTATGTATGTATCTTTCGAAGAAAATTTATGATGCACCGTTAATAGTTGATAGTAAATAAATATTATTCATTTCCGTTGTGACTTTATAGAAGAGAAAAACAGGGTAAAAAGAGGGTCTAACTGTGGGACAGACCATTACTTTCTTTTAGCTAATATTTTGTGTCCCTTTAAACAAAACAACAAACATAACACTGAAAGTCAGAGAAACAATACTACGCAGTACAAAACGGAGAGATATAAATTGCATCTTTTATTCCAACCAAGTATTAAACATCTTTGTCAATGTAGATTAGAAAGGGAACTAAATGAGATGGAAAGAAATATGGATGTAGAACAAGAATACAATAACCTCAAAATGATAATAAAAAAAATTGCTTATGAAGTATTAGGAACAGAGAACAACGACAAAAAACACCACGAACCACCATGGATGACAGAAAACGTAAAAGAAATGATACAAGAAAATAACAAATTATATAAAAAATGGCTAACAAATAAAACATCTAGCAATAGAGTATCATATCAAATGAAAAACGGAGAAGTACGCCAGCAAATAAAAGAAGCAAAAAACAATTTCTGGGAACAAAAATGTGTCCAAGTTGAAAATTTAATGGGTGGTTCTCAGACAACGGAAGCATGGAGAACTATCACTAATCTAAAGAAGAACACCCATAACTCATTAAGCAACTTAATTTCTATGTAAAAATGGGAAAATCACTATAAAAATTTACTCCAAGAGTCCAGATTGGAATATATGGGAGAAGAATACAGTATGGAGAGACAAACAAATAGTAACATTAATACTACCAGCAACGAGGTCCGTACTGCGCTAATTAAAATGAAAAACGGGCGATCTTCAGGACCTGGCAATATAGCTGTAGAGTTACTTAAAGCAGGAGGTCCACTCCTAATCGAACGAATAACTTTTCTAATAAATCAATGCTGCCAACAAATTAAAATACCATCTGAATGGAAAACCGCTCACCAAGTGTCCATCTTTAAAAAGGGTAATCGAAAAAATCCTAACTGCTACAGAGGATTGAGTGTCCTACCTACTTTCGGCAGATTGTTTGGAAAGATAATAAATAGAAAAATACAAGATGATGTAGGACATCTAATTAGCGAAGACCAAAGTGGATTTACGTCTGGTAGATCTTGCACTGATAACTTGTTTATACTCCAACAATTAATAGAAAAAAGAATAGCGGTTGGTAACGAAGTACATCTAGCCTTCATCGATCTAGAAAAAGCGTATGATACAGTACCAAGGCCTAAATTGTGGCAAGCTTTACAACAACTCGGCATTAGTCCACACCTTTTAGGAATAATCACAGAAGTATACAGGGATAACACCACTTACCTAAAAATCGGAAATAGACTATCAGAGCCGATAAAAGTAACTAAAGGACTGAGACAAGGATGCAGTATGTCACCTTTACTGTTTAATTTATATATTGAGGCAGCCCTTCAAAATTGGAAAAACCACTGCCAGGGAATGGGAATCCCAATAGGAAATGACGTACTGTTCTCCCTGAACTTTGCGGATGACCAAGTCGTTCTAGCTCAAGATTCTTATGATCTAGAATTTATGATAAAGCGTCTATACAGAGAATATGTAAAATGGGGGTTAAAAGTCAGCATGAAGAAAACGGAATATCTAGTTATCAATTCAGATGCAAGGTTTGAAGTGTTGATAGACGAGGACGTGGAAATCACACAAGTGGAAAAATTTAAATATTTAGGTGCATTCATTGATAAGAACGGCTTGGGTGAAACCGAAATTAAACACCGAATTAATCAGGGACGTAAAATTGTAGGATGTTTGAACTCCTTATGGTGGGATCGCAACATTTCCAAAAGGAACAAAAAAAGAATAGGGCAAACGATGGTTGAATCAGTTCTTTGTTATGGCTCTGAAGTTTGGACGATTAATGCAGACCTGAAAAGAAGATTGTTGGCAGTTGAAATGGATTATTTGAGAAGAAGTGCTAGAACATCAAGGCTGGAAAGGAAAACCAACGAATCTATAAGAAATCAGATGAATGCTACAGATACGGTCATAGACAGAATAGAAAGAAGAGGTTTAAAATGGTTTGGACACCTGTTAAGAATGCCTGACGTACGTTGGCCCCAAAAACTTCACAGATGGAAGCCCCCTGGTAGAAGAAAAAGAGGTAGACCTCGACGCTCATGGAATGAAGGTATTAGAAGAGCAATGGAATCGAGAGGTTTGGAGGAGGAGCATGCCTTGGACCGAGAGGATTGGCGGAGGAGGACAGGAATACCTCGATAGCCGTCTCCAAGATGTATTCTATTTACAAATTGGATCCTGTAATATATATATATATATATATATATATATATATATATATATATATATATATATATATATATATATATATATATACAGTTACAAAAAATATCAGTTCAACACTGAGGCATTTGTCGAAATAGTTCGTACAAATTTTCTACAATTGAATCAATAATAAAGAATTTTGTATGATATTTTGATAAAAGCTGTGAAGATTGGATTTGGTGGAATTTACTTCCTTGATGCTGTGGATGGGCAGGAAAACATTCATAATTTTATTGTTATTGGCAAGAATCAGATCTCCGTAGCCCTAGTGTTGGTTTCATCTGGAATATCAAATTTTGCCTTGAAATTACCATTAAACATACAAATTAATGAAACACCAGATTGCAACATCGGCAAAAATAGAGCAATGGTGAAGATTTTACAGGTATGCAAATTAATTGTTTGGGATGTACATTGGCCCACGAAAGGTCATTACAGGGACTGGACTTGAAAAATATGCGTGGCAATTAAAAACATTTTTGGTGGAGCCATGATTCTATTTTCAGACTGTTCCCTATTAACTTCTGCTGCGGACGAACTAAACGCATGCCAACATCATCGAATTTGTGGCGGTATGTAAAGAAGCTAGAATTGAAAAATAGCATGAATGTTTTTCCACGAAGATCAAAGTGCAATTGTGTTTTCGAAGCAGTTGTTATTGGAAATGGCATAGTTGCTATTGACACCACACCCGATTCATTTCATTACCCAGAGATTTCTGTTACTTAATAGTCTCTAAAGATTAGTTTGTTAAACTTTTATACATTATTTAATTTTAAGGCGATACGAAGTTCGGCGGTTCAGCTGGTTGGAATATATATAAGCCTTTCTGTTCATTTCGGTGCTTTCAGAATTCATGTAGACCTAATAATTTACGAATAATAACGTTGTAGATAATGGTTTCTGGGATAAACTTATTCAATTTTGCAATAACTATTTAGTGAAACTTCTTGAAATTTTTATGGCTCAATACTTATGATATTGTCACGCAAAATTAAAGTTTTTTGTACATTTTTAGAAAAGTTAATAATGGCTTGCTTTATTATTGGAATAATAAACCAAGAAATTAACAAAAATAACTTCACAAACTTTCATTTTTAAGGATTTTCTATGGTTTTTCAGTAAAATTGTATCACTTTTCAATATTATTTACCGGATTTAGTATTTAGCAAATATAAGTATAATAGCAAATGAGAGACGAGGAAATAACGAATATACTAAGTAAGAAAAAACAAGCAAGGCGACTGCCAAAAGGGCACTACACAATATCATCAATATTAATGAACGCATAGTGATATATAAGATGTCATAAGACACGAGATAAAAATATATTTACTATACTACAATTTTTGATTTATTGACTTGAAGAAAGCCTCTGAATGAGTACAAAATGAACAACTAGTCAAATCATAGCATATGACTCATCAAATAAAACCACGTGACACGTACAGTAGTTACAATGTATATAGCTTGATATATATACAGGATAGAGTAAATAGCTTGATATATATAGCTTGATATATATACAGAAGAGTACCAGATCATACTTTAAATTTATTTGATTTATATGCAAGAAGTTTGTTATTTTGAAAATTTAACGAGTGACTGTAGATGGCAATTGATTGGACCTCCCATCGCATGCGACAGTCAACATTTCTAGTAATATATATTATTAAAATTAGTAGTTGCTTGTGTGGATAGATGGCGCTGGGGTTTGCATTACGAAAAGACACACATAATAAGCAAATTATAATATTGATAAGAATACAATTTCTGTTTACTTATGTGCTATGGACTTTTAATTCACAATGTACGTTGAAGAAAGAAAAATTCATTAAAAGAAGACAGAAAATTCATTAATTTGAAATAGTTGATGGGAAAAATACTAAAACTACATCCAAATCATAAATAAAACTAAACTAGTCAAAAGAATGTTATTTTTGTTATGTAGATTCAAATATTTGAAACAATTATCCAAATAGTTACCTGGACTGTACTCCATTTATTAATATGTTAATTATAGTTTATTTTTATGAACGAGAGAGTAATTAGCATAATTTTAACTGGTACTTCGGACCACTCCATGGGCGTGCTCAAGATTAATTGAAAAATTACTTTGAATAATTGTAAAAAATAAATGAATTATTTCAGTGTTATAAAGTGTTTGTGTATGTAAACAAAAGTGACCTCTTTTATCACACACTATATTATAACTGACTGGCCTACATTAAAAAGGGTTTTAAAAAATTCACATTTTTTTGTAATTTTTAAAAATTACAAAAGAGAAAAAGAGTTTTTAAAACCGTCTAAGGTATGTTAAATAGATGAATAAAAATATTAATATAAAACTTACAGCTACTTGTTACAAATCCAAATCAGATTCAGAAGATGAACTTTCAGAACCAAGATTTATAATAACTGGCTCGATCATTTTATCAGTAATATTGTCCAGCTTCCACATTTTGTCCTCTTCTTTAATAGTGTGATTTACTGCCTTTTCCCAGTTTTCAGGTTTTACATTATTTACGGCCCCCAAAAACAACTGTTTAACATCATGAATTTTAAAAGTGGTATTTTTTCTTGAAACTTCACTCTTTATCTGTGCCCATACCAGTTCAATCGGGTTTAATTCACAATGATATGGTGGGGATCTAAGTACTGTCATTCCACGATTTTTGGCAATTTCATCAATTTCGTATTTTTTTAATTTTTCTTTATGAAGGGCACACAACGAATAAAGTTCCTTTCTTATAGATCCGGGATGGTACGTAATATTTTTTGAACTCAGCCAATTCTGCAAGTCTTTTTTTAACCACTTGGTTGTGGGCAGTCCTTCTATAAGTCTGGAGTGATAACTTGCAATATCCATTACTATTACACAGTTCTTAGGAAGAAGATCTATCATTTGTTCGAACCATTCTTGAAAGACATCAGCGTTCATGTCTTCATGGTAGTCACCGGTACGAGTTGATTCAAAAGTTAATAAACCACCTTCAACAAAACCGTCTGAACTGTAAATGTGTACTATTATCAGCCTGCGTCCCTTTCCTGATGGTGGGTTTAAACCAGTAGATAAGTTATTTACAAAAGCGTGCCTTTGACTTGTAACTGTTTCATCCTGCCAAAATTTATTTGGTCTATGACCCTCGTTGATCCATGTTTCATCAAGATAAAATATTTTTCTTTTTTGGTTACTCATTTCCTTTATGGTTCCTAGAAAATGTCTTCTCCATATGACAATATCGCTTCTTTCTAATAAAATAGACTTCCTGGGATTCTTTTTCCAGCGGAACCCTATTTCTTTTAAAAGTTTCCATAACGTACTTCGACTCATTTCTGGGTAATCCTTATCATCTCGAACTGAGACAAGAACTTTATCCAATGTTGGAAATTCTTGTCTAAAGAAGAATTCATGCACTTTCCGTCGAAGTCCTTCTTTAAAATGATATTCAATTTGAAATTTTGGTTTCCCTGGAGCATTACGTGGCATTTGAAAACTACCACATTTCTCTTCTTTAATAACTCTGTAAATCGTAGATTTCCCATCACCAAGTGTACTGCTAACTCAACGGTCTCATCAACACTTTCACATAAACGTTTGTCTGTAAATGATTTAAAACAATTAAATATTAATGTTTTTTCATTAACTGTTAAAGGACCAATTTTTCGGCGTTTACACGGCACTTCCAAATTTTCCATAACACTAGTATACACAATAAACTGCACCTTGCAACTGAAGTACCTACTTTTAGTGAACTGTTAAGAATTTTGAATACGCTACTTGGACTTTCCTACAAAATGGAAAAACCCACTATCAAATTTTCTGTGGAATAAGTTTAGAAGGTAATTATCTAGTCAATTACTGTCGTAGATTCCTGGAATTAAAGAATTAAATGTTTGATTGTTGAAACCCTTACTTCGTGGAGTGCACTCATTTCAGATAAAATAAAACGTTTTATTTTATCTAAAGAATTAAACTTTATTTTGCAAATAGGTAGGTACTTATTAAACTTTTATTGGTTACATATAACCAATAAAATAAACATCTTACATTTCTTGCAAATTCATTAGTACCTGTTAACCTCCATCACTCCGACAATGGCAACCTTATTTAGGGATTAGTAACCCTCACAAATATTGTATTCTATTCTGCTCCAACCTTTATACCTGGTGGTCATACTCAATTTAAAATTGTTTTCCTATATACTTCTGTAAACTTGTTGACAAATATCTGTTTTTCATTGAGTCACCCGTATCAACAGTTTAGCGATTTGCATACATAATTTATTGTTTTATTACTCTCTCATACATAAAAATACACTATAGTTAATTAGTGTTATTACACGAGGCCTTTAAACTCTCTTTAATAAAATAGTACTACTTGTATAGCTTTTTCCTAGGCGTTTTTGGAAATAACCATTTGCTATTTTATTAGTGAATCGTTCTAAATAATATTACAAATTTTTGGCAAGGAAATATAGATACAAACATTAAACTGCATTAAGTGATATATAGTCAACCTATCGAGCTTTTCTAGTAATTTGCTTCATAATTGAGAAGCTTAAAGCTTAATTTTAAACCTATTTTAAAGCTTAATTTTTAGGTTAAAAATAATAATTATTTAGTGGTACCTACATAAATACCTGTCATTACAGGAACACTTTTCTGTACATTTGTTAATTCTATTGACAATTGTTAATTTATGCTTCATTTTTTGTCAATTTTGAAACATTATAAATTACTTCTTGCGTTTGATGATTCAGAACTTGTCGTTTTTGCACATTTTCCATATTGATAACACCTTACAACACTGCACAAAACTAGCTCGCAAATTATATGAATATAATTGCTCTGTGAATTCAGAGAATTGCGTGAACTCGCGTCTCTTCGCTAATTTGGGCTAGTATAAGTTTTGTGTAATCAATTAATAGTTGTTAGTTCCGATGATTAAGCCAATTACTAATATACAAAACATATGGTACTATAATATTTACTTACTTTTTTCCTAGGGCTCTATATACACGAAGAAAATTTAGGCCTATTTATGCAAAAATAATGAATAAAGGACACAGTATGGCACATACTTCAGGTAGAAATTTGGGAGCAATGGGGCTTATACCAGGATGTATACCAGGAGCAGCGAGTCCGTGTTTATTTGATTATCCTTTTAACGAACTACTGGTAAGTTTATTGTCTACTCTCATTCTGTACTGTTATTTACTTCTTTATGCAAAGTTACGTCGATTTCTACAATAGTAAAAGAGCTACATGACCATGTCATTACTATTACTTAATGCTCATCTTTTTTAACAATAACAGCTAAAAAACGATTTTGTTCATTACTGTTACGGTAATTAAAATTACGATTCGATTTATATACATTTTTTGATACCGGTTTGGTATGCGGTCTACGGCAGAGTTTCTAGTTCGGTATGCGGTCTATCGCAATTTCGATATTCGGGGGAACGTCACCTATCATCAAATGCTGTTGAGACACTCACTAAAATTCTATATTTATATGTAGCAACAAAATAAAGTAACAAGTAATTCAATAAAAATTCAAAACTTTTATTTGCTTTTTATAGTAAATGATTAATTTAATTAACTTTAAATTATAGATTAAAATTTTATAACAATAATTAGATGCATTTATACATGTGCATTTCTAACATCGTGCAGAAAAGCGATAAACTTATCTTCTACATTTTTTCGTAGCACTTTCCACGCAACATAAACCAAATGGAACTCCAGAAACTGCCAAGTACTGACAGGAACAAATCTCATTTTCTTCAGAATCGTAATTTTACCCTCCAACCAGGATCTTTATATCCCTTGATATGCTCCTGTTTTTGGGTCGACATAATTTTCCTGGTGGTTAACGGTTAAGTGCACGTTGCCCAATTGTTGCAAATTGCCGTATGCTGGCCATTCGTCCGAGTTAATTACTGACCCAGCTTTAACTTCCCTTTTTATGATGGCCACTAGGGTGGCTCTTTATCATTTCTCAACATGAACATATTGGACCTTCTCTTTGATTTTTAATCCTGACCCACGGATCCATGATTCCGATTATTTTCCGCTTCAGCATCGCTGTCTTCTGATTCTGCTGGATTTCTTCATTTAACATTCGTCCTCTGTTACATTTCTTTCTACCCACAAATCTGGCTTCGTCAATTTGGATTGGGTCTTCTTTCGTACTCCGGAGCTGTCCACGGCGATTCACTGACATCACAGAGTAACAGACTTCTTAACACATGTTGTACCAGTCGCATATAGATTATCTTTTTCTCCTCGTTAATTTCATTACTGTGTCAAAATCGAGTTCCAAAATAAACATGAACATCAATTCCAAAATTTTACATAAAGTTAACTTGCAGTTACTTTTTTTTCATTTAAGTCGGTGACATGAAAAACCTGTTGCCATGCCTAACTGATCTTATTGTCTGGCATCCTCTCCTTGGGCAGCGGAGAACTGGTCTATATTCATCACCCCGATCTCGTTTCCGCTTTTCTTCCATTTCTGCCCCACATCGGTGAAATGCTACTGCCTTTGCTTCGCTCCAAATGACAGTTTTATAATTTTTTTTAACAACTTTTGTTTGCAACTAAATCAATCTTCATTTTGGGGCTCATTTTTCACCAATATAGGTCATTAAAAGTTTTGATGATTAGCGCAACGTAATTAAACAGTAATGAATTTGTCATAATTTACCCAATTTGTTTTTGCATTCCTAATTGACCAATAATGAGTTTGTAATAGTTTCCCTAATTTATTTTTGTACCTATTTGAGGAAGACGTAGACCGCATTCCGAATCAGCTAAACTGTCGTAGATCGCATATTAGACGGTAGACCGCATACTGAACCGGCACCCATTTTTGATTTATTTGTACAATAGTTATTGTTTTACTTAATTCTAAAATAGAGACTGAAAACTAAATACCAATAACCGGCCTTATGTAGCTTTACATCTATATTCTAGAAACTAGTCGATGTTTTTTGGGATTTCCATACCGGCACGATAATCGATGAATCATTGCAAAAGGTTTGAGATAAAATACCTCCTTTTAAGTAAATTGCGGTTAAAGGTCTGGTCTATTTTTCAATGCCATATCTTGAAAATAATTATTTTTAGTATATACTATTTTAAATAATAATATGTTGTTTTTATTGTTTATCATTTTTAATTATCCATATCCTTTTTTGTGTGGTCGTAGCGTTGACAATTGGTACATTGGGGTATCTGACGCTTGGGATGTGGTGGTTCAAGGGATACAATCATGTTTTGGAATACCTACTCTTACTTCATATATATCTTTATGTTCTTGTGTTCTTTCTTCCTTTGTTTGGTAGGTATAATAGTCTGTGTTTTTTCATTGAAAGCTTTGGTTATGTTTCGGTAATGTTCTGAGGTTTTCGACTAGATTTTTACTTGGTCATATAAAGGCATTTGATGGAGTATCCTAGTGGGGATATTGTTGCTAACAAATGTCTAAGAGGTCGTATGTGACCTACATCTGTAACAAATATGTGTGGAGGTTGAATACCTTTTTTATTTTCACCAGATCCGGTATGGTTGGTCTCATCAGGTACTTCATCTAAGCTAGCAAATCTATTAGACGTCGGTGTAGGTACTTTGAGCCAGTTATCGCTTATTATTTTTTGTTTTAGTTGTTTATCGTATTTAGGGCTGTCATTTCTTGCTCTTATGAGGAACTGAACAGTTTCCCATTCTTGCTCTTGATTTTCATGGCTGTTTTGTGGATTAATGTTATATAGTTGTGACGGTTGATAGAAAGAAGAAGAAACATAATTAGAAACAAAAGAATTACTTGGTTGTTCGTGTTAATTGTCAGTCCACTCTGTTTCTCGAGTCAGTATAACGTTTGTTGTGGCAGTTGTCATTGCTTTGTGATTCACTAGACGAGGTTGTATTTCTCCATGGTTGTTGCATGGTACTTATTTGCAAGGTAAAGTCGGGTCCATCGATATTTTGTTCGTTGGCAAATTCAAACATAATATTTGTATTTTATGAAATTCGAGTAACCGAAGTCCAGGGACGTATCGCGATATTGGTTATTTCACTGGCACAAATTTTTTGATACAAGTATTAAATCATAAAATAACAATGTGTAATGTCTATATTATAGTCAAAGAGCAGAAAATCTGATTTTGGAAAACAAAGAAAACGATATATATCTTTGTTTTTTAAATGGTTAAAAGTGAAATATAAAAAAAATATCACTCTACCACCCTGTCGGAAAAAATACTAGGTGATACAACGGCATCTTCTATAGGACCTTTCAACGCTTCTCATTTGTTTCAGGCACGTGTTATATGTAATACAATTTTACTACGTCATACGTCTTTGGTATGTATAGTTATTGGTATCTACTATATACCAATAACGTATGACGAAGATATATTAAAATTATACATATGACAAGTACCTGAAACATATAAGAAGCGTTGAAAAGCCCTATTAGCGTTTAACGATGACGTACATAGACGCAACTGTGAAAAAGTATTTTACATTTAAGGAAATATTGTTTTAAACAAAGTTAGCAATTTATATTTAAAAACTGAGTTGTTTTAACTGAAATAAGTACCTTGTCTAAAGTATTTCTGGTGCAGACGAGCTCTCATCATCGTCACTATCCACCCGATTAATAATAAGTTGTTCATTGTTTGAAAATAATTGTCTTAGTCTTCTGTACTCATTTTTTACTATCACTACATGGTTTACTACTTTTTTCCAGTCGGCACTTGTAATCTCTGATAGTTCCTATCGAATTAAATTGACCACTTTCGCTTCAAATTTTGGAAAACTATTTTTCCTCCAAATCTGTTTTTTACTTGTCCCCAAATAAGTTACCCAATTAAGTAATAGTAATAAGTTAGTAGTAACCTCAAAACAGTACTGGGTTACTGTACAATACAAAACAGGCCATATTGTACTGCAATAGTGTCCAGTATATATTGTTTCTTATAAGTTTTAGTACGAAGTTACTGTTTCTAATTATAGTTGTCTTCAAAAATCAAATATTTATCTGAGAGGAAATTGTTTAGTTCCTGTTTTGAAGATGAACTGTTAGAAATTTTGTTGAGAAGCCTTGAGTGGTAGCTAGCATTGCCCATAACTATCACACTGCCCGGTGTTATGTTGGGAAGTAGTGCATTTTTAAACCACTCTTCGAATATAGCAGAATTTATAGTCTGATGATAATCTACACTACATTTTCCTATTTTTTTTCCGCAAAGCAACTCATTTGGCACCCAACTATTTGCAGATCCACAGTGCACATTAATCATCCGAGAACCTTTATTCAGAGGTACTCCTTTCAACTGGCACCTAAGTGAACCAACAGTACAACCCTTGCTAGCGGTATCATATCTGTCACACCATGTCTCGCCTAAATAATATATAGTCCGCTGTTGGTCTCGATATTCTTGAATTTTTTTTTAAATAATTTAAACTGTACTATCCTCTTACTTTCCATAATAGCCACTCGTTTATCAACGATTTTGTATTTGAACCCAAGTTTTTTCAGCCGTCTACGTAAAGTGGTTTTAGGGCAGCTTCTTTCCATCGCAACAAGCTTGGTGTATGTAATATTAATTGTTGGTATTACTTTTTTTATTCCTCGTAAACCAAATTCCTTAAACATCTAGCAGTCACGATCTTAATTTATTTAGGTTTTCCAGTATCCGATCTTGTTTTCACCACTTTTCATAATGTCGCGCATGGTAGAATACGGAATTCCTGTTAGACAGGCAGCTTTTTTTATTTTTCAGGAGAATTCTCTTAGATTGTTAAAAAAAATCCTTTTTTTTTTGAAGTCCTAAACATTTTTCTACAGTTACAGTCTCAGTGCCATTGTTTTTTGTATCACTTAGAATATTGTTGATTACTACACTTTTTCTACTACTACTTGGGTTCTCTTGTTCCCATGCACGAAAAACAAAATTTCAACACAACTCAAAATTGAAGCAATGCACAATGCACATCTATCTATAAATAAGCTAGTTGCAAAGATACAAGTAAACTAAAAATTTGCAAGTCCAGTCCCTTAGATAAGGCACATGCCTGTATTTTTACAACCGGATTACTCATCGAAAATAAATCAGATTAAAACTTGAAAATTGATACTTGGTTGGGCATTAGTATAGTTAAAATTGTTA